TTTTTTAAAAAAAAAGGGAGGTGGTAAGAAGAGGACGGGATAACAGCTGGATAATATAGGGATAAAGCTGCTTTGGGAACCAGCTGAGGCCCTTTTCTAGCTGCAAGACCAGATGAGGTTTATCTTACTTCTAGGCACCAGTCTGCAGATACCAGATTGGAGGTGTAGATATTCTTATTAATTAAACTTCACGGAGCTTTGCAGACCTTTTTGTGCTTTCTAAATTTGAATTGCCAGCCTAGCAGCACAGCTGCCATCTCTTGCTTTTTAGCATTAGTCTTTTAGGCGCTAGTCCTCAAGCATTGCTTGAAAAGAAAAAGCAAATTTAATTAAAGGTACTTCTGATACCTGCTGCTGTTTGTTGTACTTAAATGGGAGGTGGTTTCATTTTGAGATTAACCCCATCTCTTTGTGTCCATGTTATTTATGGATGGTTTGCTGGGAGAATCACAGTTCACGTGGTTTGCGCTCATGAGTGTTCTTCTGGCAAGCAAAGCTTTCTTATTCGGAGTGATTAACGCTAATGTGACCCGTTTCCTAACCCCTGTTTTACCACTTGCTGTGGTTCATCTTCGAAAACATAATTGCTGATAAAAATTAAACCGAACCGTAGAGTTAAGCTGAAATGCTGCTGAGAGCAGTAAGATTTTCAGGCTTACAAAGGAGGCGAGGAGCTTGTTGGATGGAGGCTGTTAGGATGAGTTAGCTCTGTTACCCTTGTCTTCTGCCCACGATTTCCTTCATTAAGATATTTTTGTGTTTTGGTTTCTGTTGTCATTAAATTAGGAAAAAAAAAATCTCCTTTGGCTGTCTTACATGCACAACAAGGGGAAATATTTATAAGGAAATGACTGATTTCAAGCTGTCTAGCAGATACATGGTAGGTGACCTTACAAAAAGACATCATGTAAAAATATGCAATATCTTCAAACTCTTTGAAATTTGTATTTTTCCTTTTCCTTTTGGCAACTGCAATTTTATTGTTAATGCCTGTTTCAGTGCAACATACATTTTTTTTATTGTTGCTGTGAATGCTGTTTCTTGATATTAAGCCCCAGAAGTAGGAATTTAATACTTCTATGACTCATTTCTTTGACTTGTTGATCTCTGAAATAGACTTCATTATTTTCCTTATTTGTAAATTACCCTTCAAAAAACTCACAGGACTGTTTCAAAAATTACTTTTTTATACCCTATTTCGTATCAAAACCCGGAAGGATTGGAAATGTTGCTTTTTTGAGGTTGCTGCTTTCAGCCTTGAGCCGGTGTGCAGGAAAATCCTCCTGAACTGTAAAATAAGTGACCGTTTCATCCCTTTCTAGCTGACTAATGAAAGCAGCATTTCCTTGGGAGACTGAGATCATAACCATTGTGCGTTTCCTTTTCAATATTTATCTTTTGCAACCACATAATAATATTTATTTCTTGAGTTTGAAGGGCCTGATTTAAGAGCCTGGCATCCTTGCAGTGCTTGTCTGGGGTCTCCTGACAAGTACCTACAGCTGTTATTCTACTTCAGCAGGGTTTTTTGTCTTGATATATGCACCTCAATACCAGAAAAAGTTACTTGGGAGTTGGCCGGTGCTGCAGGTTGGCAATATTCACCCATCCTGTTGTGCTTGAGCTAGTTACTAGACTGATTATGGATATAGCTGTTGCACAGGTATTAAAAGGCCTAGCCAGAGTGCAGAGAGGCAGATGACACTTGTTAATTATTTAAGTTAATGTAAATTATTTATTTAATTAAACCAGGAAATCTGATCTTGTTTTTTGACCTGCCACAAGCTAATAATATTTTCCTTCCCCCTCCCCCCTTTTTTAACCTGCAGGGAAAAAGAAAAGTTTAAGTTATACTCTTAAGTTTATTTATTTACACAGAGGAAATAATTACAGCTAGAGCTGGCAGAAGAGTAGAGACTGTTTTATTTCCATTAGACCTTAACAGAAAGGAGCAGTTTTGAGTGTGGGCACCATGAACTAAGCCTTTAAAATGTAAGAATATACGTTTTGGTTTGTGCGTGATGTGTGTAACCTGTTACATAGATAAGTAGAGAAACTTGTATTTCATATTTATATAAATACGTATTTATATTCATAATATATCTATGTTCATATATAGAGATACTGGTTTTCATATATATTCACTTTATTGCATGAAAATCATTAGCTCTCCAGGCAGCAGTGTGGAAACATCCTTCTCCCTGCTGGCTTGCACTAGCCTTGCAGAATTGCTGCTTTCACGTCAGCTCTAGCATTAAAATCCACAGTTGCTCCCTTTTCTCTGACAAATGCTCCAAAGACGTATTACCCTTTGGAAATTGCAGCTTATAGCATTTTCTAATTGCTTCCTAAGCTGTCGAGTTACCAGGGCATATTAAGCAGCACGCGCTTTAGAGCTGGCTCTCTCTTACATAAAAATATTAACCCCAATATTTTTGTATCCGAGGTACTTTGCAGCGCGTCGACGTCCGTGGCAGGTTTTAAACCCCGTAGCAGAGGGGATGGCCGGGAAGTCCCCGCGCAGGTGACACTCGGCTTTGATTAAGAGCGGTGATAAAGGCGGGATCCGCAGCGGAGAACGCCGCGTTCGGCGCCGCTTTCGGTTCGGCTCCTGATCCGTTTCCACCTCAACATGTGTCTACAGTGCTCCTAGATGGGACGTTGGGGATTTCGAACCAGGGCTCGTTTAAGGAATTTGCGGCTGGTGACAAGACAGGAGGCAGAGCTTGGAGAAGTGAGGCTGGTACCCAACATGTTTCTTGCCAACGGCAGCTCTCCCTTTTCCTCTCAGACCTACCTTTTTCTGACACCTTTGCTGTTTTTTTGGCAGTAGCATAGCTGCTCTTTGACAAAGACAGACATTGGGGTAAGATGCACTTTCGTCATTACCTCTTGCCTTTTCTTTCATTTCTCCTCCATCCCTCGTTTTTTCTCTTCACCAACTGTTTGCACTTGGGCACCCTGTGCATTTGTAGCAGGCAGCAGCTACTGCTGGTACCTCTCCCGGCCTTTCCAGGTATGGATGAAAATTGGTGAATGGTGCAAAGCAGGATCCAGGACGTGTCCCGTGCTCCAGCATGAGCAGCCCTTTCTGCAGGTCTCCCCAGGAGAGCACGGTGCTGTTGGCAGGGCAGGAGGGGCAGTCGAGGTCTCTAACCCGCTGCCGTCGTCTTGTGCTCCTCCGAGCTGCTTTTCTACCCTCTGGAAGAGGTTTGCAGGTTTTGCTGGTTTGCAGGTTTTCCTCCCTTCAGGAAAGGGCTGTCTGAAGCATTGCTCTCAGGAGAGTGTGAAGAGTGTACAGAGAAGTTGTAATCACTGCAGATTGTGGGATCTGGAAGAAAACCTTGTCCTTTTCCCTTCCCTTGCTCTTCTAAAGTGGTGGATCGGATAAAAGATCACTCTCTACCTCCTCTCCTCCTTCAAAACATGTCCTTCTTCGTGCTACTTCTGTCTTGTGTCTGTTGTGCTTCTCATAAACGTCAATCAGAATCACACAGAGCTGCTGGGAGCAGTGCCCCAGACTTCACTAAAAATTATCAGCAGATCCATATGCATGTCCAAACATTAACCATTCCAGTGCGGAATTCCTGAGATGCTAGTCATGATGTCGTTCGTTTCCCATAAATTTTGAGGGTAAGCAGTACATTTCTAGCAACAATTTAAAATGTAGGATTAAAGCTTTTTTTTTCTTTTTTTCCCCCAAAATCATCGCAAGTAAAACAAAGGTAAAAGGCTTCCTTGGCACTGCCTCCTTGCAGAGCTGCTGGGGTGGTTGCACTGAGGCTGCCTTTTACCACTCACTGTTTGCTTTTCATTGGGGTGGAGATGGGAGGCTCTCACAGTAAACTTTCTTCTGGTCTTTCTACTCAGCAAAGAAAAAGGAAATTCAGGAGGGGAGTTGGAAAGACTAAATATAGTGATTTTTTTTTGACAAAGTTTATTGACTCAGCACATTTCTCCAGGGAGTGTGGAGCCTTCTTGTTTCTTGGCTCTACCACATGTTCTCTTGACCCTGCACAAATCAAATAAAGAAAAGAGCCTAAAATGGTCTGGGCTGCTTCCCAAGTCCCACCTTGAAGGTCTGGTTATTTGAGGGCAAGCTAGGGAGGAAAGAGGGATGTTCCAAGACTTGAGCCTCAATTTTGGAAGTGTGTATGGGGATGTACAGGCCTTGATCTTTGGGCTGCATTGCAGCTTTGCTTGCATTGTGTTATAGTGAATCCAAATATTACTAGCTGTGTAAGTGGAGAAAGAAAAAAGATGATTTTATTGTCTCTATTGCTTGTCAGTGATGATTTCTATTTTGCATTTGACTCTGCTAGAAGTGATTCTTAATTTTTTAAATCTGCACCTAGCTGGCAATTGCAGGAATTGAGAAGGTGAACTTGAGCATGTTTTGTTTTGTGTTTTATTTGAGGCATGCAGAGTGCATGTCCAGTGAACGGTACAGAGAAAGTTGTGTTATTGAGCCTTATTTTAGTATTTTAGTTTTTGATGTCAAATTTCCGTCTTACACGCTTCCTATGCCCTCCCTCCTCAAGGATGCATACAGCCTAGTCACTCTGTCGTAATATTCTTTATTTTCAGGTGAACAATCAGAATAATGTTCAACATAAACCTGTTGGAGAACCTGAAGGTCTACATCAGCAGTCGCCCGCCGCTTGTGGTCTTTATGATCAGTGTAAGCGCTATGGCAATTGCTTTCCTGACCCTGGGTTATTTCTTTAAAATCAAGGAGATCAAGTCACCAGAAATGACAGAGGTACCGTACAAAAAGTTCCTTAGTTTAACAGTGGGAATATTTATTTGAGAAACATGCTTAAAAGTTGATGAGTTCCTTTTTTTTTTTTTCTCTCCAATAACTCTTTAATGGGAGTGCAACAACGTCTTATGGGATATTGCCTGCGTTAATACTTACCTCTAATTTTATGGTCTTGCAGTTGTTTAAATCACGATACTATTTGCTGTGCTTGGCAGGCAGTGGCTGGGACCGAGTGCTTTAGTTTTTGCAAACATCTTATCCCATTCTTGATGGTGTTTGTGCTTGCTTCATGAGCCATTTAATCGATGTTAAATAGCTTGGAACTGCGGGCTGAAAAGTAGATGTTGAAGTTGCACTACTCCAGAGAAGTCGCAGCCAAAAGTCAACTTGCTGATCTGATGTGAGTCTTTGTGTTTGCTTTAAGGACTGGAATACCTTTAGGTTTAATGATTTGGACTTCTGAATATCTGAGAATGAAACCTTAAAGCATCTCATCAATGATACCACGACTCCAGAAAGTACAGTGACGAGCGGGCAAGCACGGTCTTCTACACAGTCCCCACAGACTCTCGAAGACTCTGGTCCCATAAACATCTCTGTTACAATCACTCTGACACTGGACCCGCTCAGACCGTTCGGTGGCTATTCTCGCAATGTCACACACCTAAGTTCCACAATTTTTGGACACCAAATTGGACTCTCAGGTATGCAAGACTTTTAAAATTTAATTTATTTTTTATTTTATTTTTAATTTCTATTTTATTTTTATTTTATTTTTGTAATGTTGAATGGTAACTATGTAATCAAATCGTTCAGGAAAAGAAACAAAAACTTTGCAACCTACTACTGGTGAGATGAAGCTTTTGCTTAGAATGCCTGTGTTTCCAGATTAGATATTAGCAGATTCCTATACAGAAGCCTTCGTGGGTTTGCTTGAAAAGCTGTTCCATGTGCTCAGGGTGGAAAGATCTGCCGGGATTAGGCATTACTGTGTAAAATGATCACGGTAATGGCAGTGGAAGGTAATTATTGATTCAACAAAATTCTGATCAGGAAGTGCTTCTACAGTAAATATTTGGACAGCTTTATCCTGATGCATTTTCAAGTAGTTAAGTCAAATATTAAACTCATTAATGTATGTGCACTAGAAATCAAGTGGTATATTGTGTAAAATACAGGTAATCTAAAATACAAGTGCATGCATGAACAGACTTCAGCATTGCAAACACAGCAAGATGGATAAAATTTCTGTGATATTGTGCTACTGTCCTGTCATTACGTTTTGACAGGAGATTTAAGTTGTAGAGATTGAGCAGAAATAGCTAATGGAACTTCACTTAAACTTCTATGCAGGGCTGTTTATACAGCATGTTATTATAGTACTTGAAGGTGTCTTGAACCTCAGAGATCTATAAGAGATATTTGCTCTATCTCTAAATATCTAGTACTGTATTTGTTTTTACTTCTACATGACCTATCAAATACATATTCCTTTGCAAGTTGCCTGAATTTATTTTCAGTTTTAATATGACTTTATCCACATAAAGTTCCCTATCGCTGCCACGTTTCTGTAGTTATGTCTGCATTAATATCTGCAAATAAAAAATAAACTTCAGAAAAATCATGTGTTTTGTCACATGATTAAGTCATTGAGAGGGGAAAGGCTAAAGAGCTGTGGGTTTTTTGTTTGTTTTTGTTTTGTTTTTCTAAGAAATTTCCCTGATACATGAAATCACTTGTAAATAGCGAGTTTTTCTTTTTTAAAAAATAGACTTTTGTTCTTTTCATTAATAGTAAAGATCCTGGGCGACTCCAAAGGTACAGATCCAGGCTTATCTGTCATTTGTGCGCTTTCCTTTCCCTAGTGATTGTTGCTCAAATACTGCTGTGAATCAAAAAAAAAAAAAAAACTAATCAAATAAGTTTTTTGTTTCCTTTTTCCTAAAAGGCAGAGAATCCCATGAGGAGATTAATATCACGTTCACCCTGCCGGCTGCTTGGAACTCGGACGACTGTGTCCTCCACGGTCACTGCGAGCAGGTTGTGTTCACCACCTGCATGACTGTGACGGCGGCCAGCGGCGTATTCCCTGTCACGGTGTAAGTGTGACACTTCTAAACACTCTTTCATAGATTGATCATTTTGGGTGAGAATTTTCACTTTCTGGTTCCTCAGGTGGTGCTCTGAGGTTCCCTTTTCCTGCATTTCACCCAAGTAACAACCCTCTCTTGACTCTCGAGACACTGTCTTCTAGCAACATCGGATTTTTCTGTGGATGTTTTGAACTGTAGCCTTCCCTGCCTTTCAACAAGCTGTAATTTAAACTTCACTGGGAACAGCAGTCAATGAATATTTAAGAAAGATACCCTATAATTTATGTTCGCTGCCCTGTAGGCAAGCTAAGACCTAAGACTGTAAGGTTCTTACCCTCTTCCGTGCTGAAAAATCAGCACAAGCAGGATGCTGCTTTGCTACCAACCCCAGAAAGTACCTATCTTGAGAGTAGTTACCCTCTGTCTTCTCTGGACTCTGACACTATTCAGGATACTCTGCATAGCCCTGGATAGATTCACATGATAGCATGATACTTATGAAAACCAGCATTTTTCTAATTAAGCTATAGGGCATTGATTTACTGGAGCAGCATGCAGTAAAATTCTCATGTTGCTATAGGAACCATATGTTGTAATGCCAGCCTTTGGTTAAAGTTGTAGGGTTTTTTTTGTTTGTTTGTTTTTTGCTGTTTTGGAAGGTCCAAAATAAAATAGTATTTTACTCTGCCTTTAAGAAGACTGGGCTTGCCTCAGTTCAGAGACTTACTGAATGTGAAGAGTGGCATTTTGAGTGCTAATCATTTCTGCTTTTTTGCAGTCAACCGCCACATTGTGTTCCTGAAACGTACAGCAATGCTACACTTTGGTACAAGGTCTTCACCACAGCCAGGGACTCTAATACAAAATATGCACAAGATTATAACCCATTCTGGTGTTACAAAGGAGCAATTGGAAAAGTGTATCATGCTTTAAATCCCAAACTAACTGTTATAGTTCCAGATGTGAGTACCCACTGTGCTTTTATATGTTATGTTGAATAAATGCTTAGCTCGGGTTTAACAGAATATGTTCCTGTCCCAAATAACCATATTCAGGGCTGGATCTGGTTTCTTATTGTAGTGCAAGGGCCAGGTTTACCCTTGGTGGAAATGTTGGGTTCTGCTTATCTTCCATGTGCCTCAGGACGTTAATAAATAAGGTTTGTATTTTGAAATAACTTGACAAAAGGCACAGTCCTCCCGTAGAAAGAGATCCTTAGTACAGTTTTCTAACATGAAGAACATTTTGTCTGTGTGCCAGAATTGGGGATCTCTTTCATTGCTATGCTAGCTTCATAAAAGGGGAGAAGGTTGATTCATGAACTAATTTCTGTGCTAATTATTGCTTTAATATAAAGTACCAGCTCTCAGTGCCTTGGCAGTAAATGGCTTTAATTCTCTGTGCAGGATGACCGCTCTCTAATAAACCTGCATCTCATGCATACCAGTTACTTTCTTTTTGTGATGGTGATTACAATGTTCTGCTATGCAGTTATTAAAGGCAGACCAAGCAAACTGAGGCAAAGCAATACAGACTTCTGCTCTGAAAAAGTAAGTGTGGGTAACAAAAAACACTGACTGATAAGAAAACATAGAAAACCTTCTTTTTACATAGTTTGTACAGGCTGCTTGTTCTGATCTTGAGATGCAGGTTTTACTCTCTTGTGAAGATACACAGGTACTTCATTGTAAATAGGACGTAGGGGTGCTGTAAAGTACCTGTATGTGCTTTGTAGAGCCTTAGACTTGGACTGCTCTACCACAAAAGTGGTTTATTACTTGCAGTTCAGTAAACACTATAATTCTATTTTTATGCCATTATTATTATATTTTTTTGTATTGCAGCATTGAATGATACTATTGAATATCTTAAAATTATCCCATATCGCAAAAGACTTAAAACTTTGAATTAAACATGACACTTCTAAGAGTTGTTATCAAAATTAAGCAAAATCAGTGATGAAACTGTTGAAAAATACGCTGAAACATACTGAATAGATATTGTTATTCAGTACTACAGTGGAGGCCTGTATTTTGCTTGAGGGGTTAAATATGAATATATTTAGTTGTAAATTAGAAGGCTAATGTTAGCTTCATAATAATATTTTGATGATAATATTATGATGTTGGCATCATAAGAATATTTTATAGCTGTTTTCTTTTTTTAAAAAAAGTAGATATAATTATTAGATTAATCATGCTGAATACAGAACACCTTCAGACTGGCTTTAATTTCCTTTCCAAGCCGGACTTTTCAAGGTTCTTTGAAAAGGCAAGGGCAGATATGCCAGCTGCATGGAGATAAGGAATATCACTGTTACAGGATTACGAATTTGACTTAATTACATCTTTTGTTTTTCTTTTGTGTAGGTGGCTTTGTCTGAAGCATAATCCATCCTCTCCTTTTTTTTAATTCTGTGAATACATTATCTTGCAATGTTGGTTTATTCCAACCAAAGACATTTCAAGTGCCTGTAATTGATTTGTACATATTTATAAAAGTATATCCAGACTAGGTCAGACGATGCACTTGTTCCGCATTGTAGTGCGGCCGGAAACTTCAGTCTTTACCTGTGGACATAGCCGAATGTTTGTGTAGATATGTTTAGTGATATGGCTACATATAGTCAAAGCAAGATATTTTTGTCTAGCTGCATCTGGACAGATTAAGATGCCTTTGCAAATGTCTCAAACAAACCAACAACTATATGTTTTTCTTTTTTTCTTTTTTTGCCCAATGATATGTACAGTGTGTTTGAAACAGTATGCACCTTTGATATAATACTGCATTTCCCGAGCCACCAATCTACGACATCAATTAAATGTGTATTTGTGTGGCCTAATATCTTTTTCCATTTGCTCTTTGCTTGCAAGAAGAAATATCAACATTTTTAGATTTTCTTCTTTTGAAAAGAGAAATACATATTCACATTTTAATAGTGCTGTATTTAGGACAAACTTGTGCTTTTATTCATAGAAATTCATAGAAATTAAGAAGTAAAGTCCCATTTAAAATCTTTCTTACCGAAGTGCTAAGTTTGAATTTTTTTTCCTTTTTTTCCCATTGGCTTGCTGAATACCAGGGAATCAGTCAGTGTAGAGGTTTTCTGGAAAGCTTTCCACTTGCCCCCCATCTACAGCCTTCTTCAAATATGGAACTAGCATCTTTGCTGCAGAGTAGTTTTCTGTAACCTTTTTCTTCTGGAAGGTGAACCTTAATAAAAAAGATGCATTGTATTAACATTGTGTTGAGGCTCTGCACAGCCTTGGGCAAGTGCAAAATAATAAGAGGAAAAAGAATCCCACAGTCTGTAATAGAGCTTCAGTTCGAGACCCTCCATCTCTGAAAGGCAGCTGAAAATGACACTTTTTTATTAGCTTTGTCCAATTTCTATTTAATGCTATTCATTGAGGGGAGAACGACAAGGAGAGAGCTAGGGCTGTTTTGATTCAGGTCAAAGAAACTGTACAGTAAAACCCATATGTTTTGAGTCCATTCTTAAATCAGATGAGTTATAATGTGCTTTTCTCCCTCTTCCATTCTAGCTTTTGCTGTTTCTTTCTAGCTGGTTATTTAGGAAGCTCCTTAATTTTCATGAGTCAGGGTTTTCCTGCCAAGATTTCCACCACTGCTTTTAAAATCTCACTCGTTGCCTTAATTTACCTTTCATCTCATCTTTCAGCTGTCCTGTCAGGTAGTATAACTGCAGGTCTGTAAACATGTGCATATATATTCTTTTTTCTTCCTCTTTGATAAGTTTTTGCCCTAAGTATGAAGACAAAACAATAAACCCAAGCTAAATCCTGCAGTCAGTTTTGCTGGCATGAGATATGTAGTTTATTACCTAGAGACACTATTGTGAATGGTCTGCTGGCCGGTGTGTATGGGACTTCGGTAAGTTCTTAAATCTTCAGAGCATTCAAAGCAAAATAGTCACACTTTTCTTCAAAACATATTTCCATTATAGCATTTCAGTTCCTTACGTGGTGTTAATTAATGTGCGTTTTTCTCCAGGGATGTGAGGGCAAAGCTTTAGAGATGGCCTGGTTTGAAGTCTGGGGATAAAAGGAGGCTTCCGTTTTCCTCCTGATGATGCTACGGACTAGCACTGCCTCACTGTAATGAACCAGTAAAGTGAAAACAGGCAGAGAGCTTCTCATGAAAACTATTGGAGCTGCTCCCAACTCATGCATATGCAGCCTTCTGCGTTAGTGTTCACTTCCAGAGTGGCCTAAGAGAGTGGCTTGATCTGGGGACCAAAGGCAGGGAGGGAAAACTCAGTGGGGTTGTACTGCAGATCCTGGGAATAACTAGGAAGTACCCAAGTTAACAAGGATTCTTAAAAAAAGAAAGAAACTCAAGTCTTTTACATTTCAGCAAACTAAAATCCAACTGCAGAAATTCTGACTACAAGGTGGTGGGGAAAACAAGTTTGTGGGTTTTGTTGTTGTTTGGGTTTCTTTTCTTTTTCTAATCTGGCTTTGCTATTTGGTAATTAGAGGGGTCTGCTTTGCAATGTGTTACCCACTCTATTGGAATAGCCAGAAATACTCAAGTTGCGATCCACAAATGCAAAGGGGAGAACATTAAGGAGATGTGTTCCTTTGGCCTTAGCCCCCATGTATTGCAGCAAGGAGGTGAGGATGTCCATCAGGTTGGGATGCTGTAATACTGAGGAACTTCGGATTGTACTTAGGCGCAACGTGCAAAAGTTAAATGCAGCCAAACAGAAGAGTAAAAACTTAATATTAAAGTTCAGATCATATTGATCTTTCCTTTTTTGTTTTCTTTTTCTTTTTAACTATGACTTGAATCAGTTTTGATTCTATTTGTACGTGTTTTCTTGTTCTTAGAAAGCTGCCATTTTCTGTTGCATTTTTCTTTGGCATTACATAGAGAATCTGAGCCTTGGTTTTCAACCCTCTGCAGATGATTGTAGGGTTAAGATGGCTTTCTTTGTTTTATTTTTGTTCTTACATTTCACTTGTCTTGTTGCATGATGGTTAATAGCTGATTTGAAAATGACATTTCTCTCCTAGATTAATTTTGTGTTTGTAAGATGTGCATATTGCTTTGCAGAATAAAAACAATGAAGTTTATTCTGTTGTCTTTATTTTACTCACCAGTTGCTATGGAATTTTCATAAATCATCTAAGCTGCATGCACCAAGAGAAGAAAATACTTTTGAAAGTGCACAGTAGATTGGAATTTCAAGGTCTATGTTGTACTTCTATGTAAGATGCTTACAGGAATACGTTTTTTTCTTTTATGGATGGTATAGTAGGGCACATAGCCCGTGCCCATCATGATAAATGCAGGATTTGTGACGTGGACCAGTCTTTGAAACTGCTTTTTTCTTGATGCTTTTTGTCTCCGTGTTCAGTCACCGATAGGTAAAGCAAGCTTTGTCGATCCCGTGCAGCTGTATCCTTAATATCAGCTGGAGCACCAAGAAATGTGTGGCAGAAGGGAGTTGAAACAGCTTGGTTGACACTTCTGAAACTCATGTCTTTTGTTAACCATCAGATGAGCTTTTGTTCCTTTCACCTGTATGTGCATTTCTCCTTCTGGAATCCCAACAATTTCAGCCAAAGCCTCTCTCCTCGGAGTTGTCAATATTTTGTAGGACTGTCAGCAAAACCACCAAACAGGTTAACTTCTTGCAGCAGAGGAGAACTTCAGAGAGGGTAGGACCTCTGTAACGACAGAAGTAACCTCTTGTGATTGCTGTTTTCAGGTCACATGCCTTGGGCAAGGGTAAGAGATGTGGTCACTTTTCCTGGATGATTATCGTGCCTTCCACGGCCTCATTGCTACAGGCACTATGTACTTAATCAGCTGCTTGGAGACCAGATTCTGAGTATTTCAAAATACCAGTGGGTGGCTTGAGATCATTGAAGGACATGGATGGCAGTTGAAACCAAGATACTGTAACCGGATAAATTCCAGCGCTGGTTGCTCTGCAGCTGGAATGGGCAGCACCCCTGTGTTTGCAGTGCTTGATTAAGGGAAACACACTTCATATTGCTCTTGGAAGCTTGCTGAGTGTTAGGCACTGAATATGTGTGACAAGTACAAGAAGTACATGCTTTTCTGAGGAGCATGGTTCAAAGCATTCACACAGTGCTCTGACTTACTCTGGATGTATCCAAATGGTGGCTATTCAAAAACTGTGACAAATGGCAGCATTGTTTAAAGGCAAATCTATGATGCAGTTTCATAGCTTTTGTTGAGGAAAGGAACTCTGAGAACTAATAGAAAAAAAAAGTGATCAATTTTAACAGTATAACTTTGACAAATCCCCTTGGTGTGGCTGTAAGAAATGTGGCTAGTTATGAAATACCTGCCCAAAGTGGCATTACTGCCTATTATTTTAGCAAAGCAGTTGTCATCTTTGGTGTCTGCTGAATTCGGTGCCCAAGCCAGCAGTGGAGAAGAGAAAGGCAGCAGGACACTATTCACTTGTTTTTTGTTAAACAAGCTCTCTTTCATAACTTAAGCAGCCACTGTTTGGCAAACACACAGGTTTGTTCAATGAGTTATATGGAAGGGCAGTTTCCTTGAAGATCCTGTTTTATAGCTGTTTCTTCACAGAGTTACACTTGAGAAAGTTCATAGGAGGATGTAGGGTGAGCTCCCATTTATTCTAAAGTAAACAGGAGCAACCTGCTGTCCAGAGCATTTCACAATCCTTATACACAGGGGAAAAAGTATTTCACAACTTCTATGTACAGACCATCCTGGTGTAGCTCAGTGTCACAATTTTAAAGTTTTCAAGGCTCCTTTCGGGTTCTTAATAGAGCAACTTAAAGTGGATGTTTTCGGCAGGAAGTGCAGAGTAAAAACAGGCTGATTGCTTCGTTGTTACAGGACATTTCCTGGCGTTCAAAGGTTGAAAGGGTGGGCTGAGCAGAAGGGATTCATCTGATAACATGGCAATCAGATGTTTATTCATAATGCTAATGTTTGATAACAAACTAAAATAAGGGCAATGAAAAATTATGTAAAGCTTGCTCATCTGGAAAACAAATGCAAACACCGTGTTTGCAGTCAGATTATATCTCATGTTAGCAGGCTGCTACAGATTGGGCTGAGAGGTACCATCTGCCATCAGTGGTGGCATTTCTTTAATCGCGTGTTTCGTGCCAAATATTTCGATATTACTTGAAAGTATTGCTGAAAATGAGGAACCGCATCTGTCTTCTCACAACGGTGCCTTTTTTTTTTTTTTCTGCACACAAATGTCTTTACCCTTCCTCTTATAATACAGAATTTCAAAGGAAAGTTACCCTGAAGTTTATATGAACAATTAAGCTGAATATCGCTCTGTAGCTGCTAGCTTTTGCCAGCCTCTTGGATGTAGCCTGGGTATTGCCCTCAATGCATCTGGGGCTGAAAGCAGCT